AGATAGATAGATAGATAGATAGATAGATAGATAGATAGATAGATAGAGGGCATAGGGTGAGTTGAAGATGAAGGGGTCATATCTGGAGAATAAAATTAAGGAGTGAGAGAGGATTATACTAGGAGAAGGAGAAAGGGAAAGGTAGAATGGGGTAAATTATCTCACAAAAAAACATAAAAGAAAAGGCTCTTAGAGTGGAGGGGAACCGGGGGAAAGTGAGAGGAAATGAGTGAATCTTATTCTCATAGGATTTGACTTAAGGAGGGAATAACATACACACTCAATTGGGTATGGAAATCTCTCTTACCCTACAGGAAAATAGGAGGGGAAGGGGACAAGAGAGTAGGGGAATGATGGAGAGGAAGACAGATTGGGAAAGGGGGGTAATCAGAAGTAAATACTTCTGAGGAGGGACAGGGTCAAAAGAAAGAATAGAATAAATGGGGGGGCAGGATAAGATAAAGGGAAATAGAGTGAGTTTTTCACAGCATGTCTACTATGGAAGTGTTTTGCATAACTGCACAAGTATAGCCTATATTGAGTTGCTTGCCTTTTCAATGAGGGTGGGTGGGGAGGGAGGAAGGGAGAAAATTTGGAACCCAAAGTTTAAAAAAACACACGTTTAAAAAAAATGTTTTCACATGCAACTGGAAAATAAGAAACACAGGAAATGGGGTACAGGAAAAGTGAAGGGGAAGGGGATAAGAGGAGGGGGGAGAGATAGCAGGGAAAGCAGACTAGGGGAAGGGGTATTCAGAATGCATGCCATCTTGGGGTGGGGCGAGGGGTGAGATGGGGTGAAAATTTGGAACTCAAAATATTGTGGAAGTAAATGTTGAAAACAAAAATATTTATAGCAGCTCTTTTTGTGGTGGCAAAGAATTGGAAATTGAAAGGATGCCCATCAATTGGGGAATGGCTAAACAAGTTGTGGTATATGAATGTAATGGAATACTATTGTGCTATAAGAAATGATGAACAGGCAGACTTCAGAAAAATGTGGAAAGATTTTTTATGGTCTGATGCTGAGTGAAGTGAACAGAACCAGGAGTACGTTGTATACAGTAACTGTGTGCAATGACTAATATTGATAAACTTAACCATTCCCAGCAATACAAGGATCTAAGACATCTCCAGAGGCCTCATGATGGAAAATGCTATCCACATCCAAAGAAACAACTATGGATTTTGAATGCAGATTGAAGCATACTATTTGCTATTTTTTTGCTTCTGTGGTGTTTTTGTTTCCTCTTTCTGGTGGTTCCTCCTAAAGGTTCTAATTCTTCCTTACAACATCACTAATGTGAAAATGTGTTTAAAAGGAATGTATATGTATAGCCTATATCAGATTGTGTACTGTCTTGGGGAGGGAGGTGGGGAGGGAGGGGGAGAAAAATTTAAAATTCAAAAGCTTATGGAAGTGACTGATGATAAATCAAAATAAATTAATTAAAAAAAATTAAAAATCTAAAAAAAAAAAATCTGGCTTCAGACACTTGACACTTACTATCTGTGTGACCCTAGGCAAGTCACTTAACCCTCATAGCCTCACCACAAAAAAAAAAAAAAAAAAACAATTTTCGGGGCAGCTAGGTGAGGCAGTGGATAGAGCACTGGCCCTGGAGTCAGGAGGACCTGAGTTCAAATCCAATCTCAGATAAGACACTTTACACTTACTAGCTGTGTGACCCTGGGCAAGTCACTTAAACTCAAGTGCCTCGAAAAAAAAAACAATTGAAGTTCACAACTTACCTCCTCAAAAGCACTGCAACCAGTCACCACGATGTTTGGCCTAAATTGTTCCATTTTCAGTTTCTTCTCAAGCCTGGTATTAAGATCTGACAGGGAAGCTTCTGAGAGCATCATGACGGGACAGCAGTCAGGGTAAGCCACCTGCCATAGGAATATATCACAATGACCATCAGAGAAAGCCCTAGGGTGGTCCTTTACTTCAGTTGCACCCACAACACATGGGGAGTCACTGAGAGAAATCTCTAAGGGCTTATTTGGCAAGGAAAACACATTGAGAAACAGAAACAGCTCATTGCAGAGAAGTAGGTGATCAAGAAGGAAAATGTGGTCACTATTTTGTCAGATGAATTTTGCTGAAAATTTTTGGATCCCAACACTGAACTATTTCTAGATGCCCAGTCTCCACAGTTTGTTGCTCATATAGCACAGTCATGCATTTATGAGCCATGACCATCTCCTCTGCTCAAACTTCAAAATGTTAGAGGAAACTGTCTTGGAGTTCTATCTGGGCCATAGCGCAGAAGCAACTTCTCTGTGGGTAAAGTAGGGGCACAGAAGAGGGGGGAAAGCATGAGAAACAATGAGCAAGAATATAAAATGTAGGGTAGAAACAAGTTTCAGCCCCCTCATCACTGAATAATTTTGTGTCTGAAGCCCCCTAGCTCTACTTTGTCTGGATTCAGTCACCATTTTTCATAGACCTAATTAAGTCAAGTAATGGACACAGGAGAGAAGAAAAGTTGACCCCTTTCTCCACCATCTCCTCTCAAAAAAGCTGGTAGAAGAGGCAGCGGCAAGGAAAAACCACACTCTCATCTCACCTCATAATTCTGAACAGAGGGATGACAAATTTCTTTTGACTTTCTTCCTGCCATGTGGGTCTCAAACTGAACCAGTCGAAATGTTTCTGTTTTTAAGAAGCTGGTGATCCACTGGCCTACTTCATCTCCACAGTCTCTACCCTGAATGTCAACGCCAAATATCCTGTGGGAGGGTTACAAGAGAAAATGGGGATTAGTGGTTAGAGGGTCAGTGCTTAGAGGGATTGTCAACATAAAAAAAGGGGGTCAGTGCTTAGAGGAATTGTCAACATAAAAAATAGGGTCAATGCTTAGAGGAATT